ATTATGGTACAGTTTGGACATGCTGCTGAGCTGAGATTCAGACTTATGCTTTGTCAGAACAGATGCTTTAATTAATACTGAAATTAGGGTTTCTTTGCTAAGATCAGATTAACCTTACACTGATACCATTAAGCATGAAATACATAAGGACTCTTCCAATCATAATAGCGGTACCAATTCAAGCCCCCACTTTATCTGCATCTAAACAAGCCAGCAAACAGGGACACAACAGCGTATCTCAAGTCACGTACACACTTTTAGGTTGACAGTGTTTAGGCTCATAACGTTATTGGGTGAGGGGACTGTGACGATTTGTTAATCTAATGAATAACTGATTTGTTAAATCAAATGAAAAATTGTGTGTTTGATTGGTCCAGACGCTACACTCTCCACTTAGGATATCTGGCATCTGTTCTGGGTGCCAGTATGGATAAAACATTCAGTGTGGATGTCAGCTTGTGTTTTACAACACAAATCAAGAAATATTACTGGGCACACGTCTCTACAAATGCTCTTCTACCTCTTCACTTTAGGGCTGTTGTGAAATGTCTAAAAAGAGCATTATTAAAAAGAAAACAAGTATTGACATAATTTGATACTTCATCACTTGATTTAATTTGGGGTTATTTCACCCAAAATGAAAATTAAGTCATTATTTGCTCACTCTCGTGTCTTTCCAAACCCATTAGACATTTGTTCATCTTTGAAACACTGATGAACATATTTTTAATGACTGGGAAATTTGTCACTCTATTAAAAGTCAGTTATGTCACAACTTTGACTTCAGCAAGTTCAGAAAGAGATTGTAAAAGTAGCCTAATCCATATGAATGGGGCATTTATCCATGTTTATATTTGAATAAATATAAATTAAATCTATTCATCATATAAAGCAATTTTGTGACTTTAGTAGTCTTGGTTTAAATGACTCTATTCATATGCATTGAAGTTTAGTGAAGTTTTGGTGGAATGGACTTTCAATAGTGGGACAAAAATCTTTCAGGTTTCATTAAAAATATTTTCAATTGTCATTAAATGATAAATAAAAGTCTCATGGGTTTGGAACAATGTGAGGGTGAGTACTTGATGACAGAATTTCTCTTTAATTTTAGATTTGCATTGTTTTGTGTTTTTGAAAAGTGTGATGTGTCTCTCTACTCTCCTAGACTGGGCACAGGCCATTCAGATAGGAGTTGTGGATTGTGCTCATGAGAAGAACTTCGACGTCTGTAAGGAGTTTGGAATCCACTTCTACCCCACCTTCAGGGTATGTTTGTACAAATGATCTTATTTATTCTTTCAGCAGATTAAACCTATACAGTAAATCATAACAATTGAAAAATTATTAGGTGCCCTTTAAAAAAAATTAAATAACACTTTAAATATGAAACTAAAACTGTCATTAAGTTTTGACAAGTCTTAATGAGTGAGTCAATGAGTTATTCATTCAGTCAGTCCATTAAAACAACTGATTCATTCAGGAATGAAAAAAAATAGATTCTTTATGAATTGGTCATTGAATAATTGACTCACTCGATGTGTTTAAAAATACAGATACATTCAGTAACATCTCAAGTTACTGGAGATGCACAACAGTTCAGCTGTAGATTTGTTTGGAACCATTTTTGTTGGCAAATAGAGCAAAAACAGACAATAATGATAATATTGTGTCTAAAATGTCAATATAAAATCAACATTGCATTTTCAGTCGCACTGGTAATCGACAAAAACAGCACTATTGTTTGTGTGATATTGCTTGTATCATATAATGTAAAATATAAGACAAGAACTCATAATTGGCATTTTTGGCCCATACATCTTTAAGTATGGGGGCGTTCTAATGGTATTTTAATAGACTACATCATGCAGAACATGTAGTCCAAGCATGTTTTTGTTTCGTTTTTTTTTTTTTTTTTTTCCGTAAAGAAATCTTATTGGTCCAAACTCCTGCTCTACAATGCTGTACATCAAAAATGTTCATATATATTAAAGATGATGTACAGTAGTCACCTAGTCATCTAGTTGTCTATTAACAGACTAGCCAATTAGAGAAGCTGACTGGATTATTTGGACTTAGATTATTTATTTTTATTTATTAAGCTTTTTAAATTTAACAAGCATGCTGACAGCCTGTTATACTGTGTTTGCACATTATAAAACTTTTTGGAAATGTTGCATCTTTGAATTCATGCATTAAATGCATCATGTTTCCTATGCTGTTTATTGAATGCTTATACTGTGGCAAATTAACTTTTAAAAAATGAAACCCCTGCCTTCTGCTCTATTTTGCTGTGCTCCTTTCTAGCTGTTTTTGTCTTATCTTTGTATTATCGAGGTCGTGTAAACCTGAAACCAGCGTAATTATACAATAGACAAATGTATTATTACACCCTTATCAAATTTCTTGTTGCCAGAAACATGTCTGATTAAAGGGGTCATATGATGTGATTTCAATTTTTCTGCCCTCCCCTTGACCCTGCCAGGTGCCCAAATCTACAATATTACTACCCATCATCTTCACATACACGTTCAATTTCAGACATTTTTAATATTTAACTTTTTCTGTCTCCAGCTTTCAGAGGGAAATTAGGAATGTTTGTTTAGGGCTTCATTTCTAGACATAAATGGAGTTTTCTATTTAGAGACACTGAGTTTGTCATCTGTTACAGGTCTGCGGAGATTCTTTCCTTAATGGGGAAGAAAACGGAGTTCTATACTGCAGTTATAGTTGAGGATGAAGACTCTTATATTGGAAGAGAGGTATGAAAAGTGGTTGTCAATTAATCTGGTTTTGTAGGACATAAAGCAGTATAAGATCGGATGTCATAATTTACTCAGCCATATGTCTTTCCAAATTGATCTGATTGTTATTGGTCAATGTTATTTTTATCAGCCGATCAATTTTCAGTTCATTTATATATATAATTAAAGCAGGCACAAATTCACATTTACACTACAGCTCTGCTGAATAACAGTTTTTTTCTCAGGGCTGTAAGCATGGCATTGCAGCACTGGTGGGCAATTTGTTGTTGTAAGCATTCACTTTAGATGAGACATACCTAAATTCAGATATGTATGCCATTTTCTTTTATTGATATTACATTAACTATAATGTGTCCATTCAAGGGTAACTATAGTAATTCTGCTGAATCGCTGTGCAGATAGGAGGGGAAAAAATGCAAATGCATGTAAAAAAAAAAAAATTTGAATTAATGGCAAGAGACTTTTTGAAAAATAAATATGGCGATTGGTCTCAATTTCCATGATCTGTGCACCACTATTTCAAATTAGCATGGCTTTCTTCCATTGAACACAAAAGAAGTCAAAAACACAAATAAGGAGAATTTTTGCTCAATGTCCAGGCTGCTCTTTACCGTAACATAAATGTAGATAGACACTGTAAACCTCCAAAAATATAATAAAAATATTATATTATAATAGTATACACACTATAATTCCTGTAAAGCTGTACGATAGCTTTTTGTGAGGAACAGATTGAAATTTTAAGTAAAGTACAAGGTTAATTTAGCTTTCGCCCTGCAAATATGTTCTTTATATTCAAACGTGGCGTATTCATGATACACTACAGATCTAAAGTCTTGTGTAGCGGATGCTGCAAGCAAATTACCAGGAAACACAAATACACATAAATGTCTGCAAAGAAAGTTCTCCTGTGTAACATGACTGGACCAGATCGGAACTAGCGGAAAGCAAGGTTTTCAGTAAAAATCACAGAAATGTAGATCTGTACTTTACATAAAGCTATTGTATTGTTTTAGAAAACCTACATAACACTTTTATGGGGCTTGATGGTTGTAGCCTACTTTTGCTGAATAAGCCAGTGGCTCTCACTAAATCTTTGTTATATTAACAAAACCATAAATAAAATGCTCAAAACATTTTGGATAGTCTTTAAATGTTGCCTTAGACAATCCAATAAACCAAACTCCTTTTGTGTTCCATGGAAAAAGGAAAATAACATAAGTTTCAAATGATGAGTGGGTGAGAAGATGATGATCTAAATGACCCCTTTAGGTATAATCAGTGATGTAGCTAGAATTGTAATGCTCTAATTTAATGTTTGTGCTCTTTTTAACTAGGTAATTTTGGACCTAATGCCATATGAGGGTTTGGCAGTGAAGAGAGCTCTGAGCTCAGACAAACTTCTAATGGAGAAACTAGGGATAAGTTCAGTTCCCTCAGCGTACCTCTTCTATCCCAACAGCACGCACACTGTCATGAATGTGTAAGTTAACGGTCTCTGCTGAATTCATTTTAGTCTGACTATCAAAAAGAGGTCCTGTTTAGGTGCATTCGATGCATTTTTGTTTGTGTTAACAGTCAGAAGAGGCTACGCTTTTTCTTCTCTTCCTTCCTAAAACTCCTCCCTGGAGTACACAGGAAACGGTCCACCTCGTCCCTGCAGCATCCTCAGCCTGGGAATAATGGACAGGGAACCCAGGTGGAGTGGAAAGAGTTTGAAAAGTGAGTTTGATTGATATTTACACTACTGTTCAAAAGTTTGTCAGCAAGGACAGATTAAATTGATCCAAAGTGACAGTAAAAAAATTACAAAGGATTTCTATTTCAAATAAATGCAGTTGATTTGATTTTCATAAAAAAAATGTATCATGGTTTCCACAAAAATATTAAGCGGCAACTGTTATTAAGAAACATTTCTTGAGTAGCAAATCAGCATATTAGAATGATTTCTGAAGGATCATGTGACACTGAAGACTGGAGTAATGACTGCTGAAAATTCAGCTTTGCTATCACAGGAATAAATTACATTTTAATATATATTAAAATAGGTTATTACAGTTATTTTAAATCATGAAATTGTAATAGTATTTCACAGTGTTACTATTTATTTTTTTTTTACAGTATTTTTGATTAATGCAGACACGGTGAGAACAAGAGACTTATTAAAATAAAATGTAAAAAATAATACTAATACTAATTAAATAAATATTTTACCAACCCCAGGCTTTTGAACAGTAGTGTAAATTTCCTGTAAAAAGTGACGTAGTCCAAATGTCTGCAGTTTAACAGCTTAGAAGATGAACACCCCATGGTTTTTTTTTTTGCTTGCTGTTAAATTAACTTTAAGATGAGGTAACCAATATCAGTGTTTCTTCAGGTCTAAGGTATACATGGCAGATCTGGAATCTGGCTTGCATTATCTACTGAGGGTTGAACTGGCCACCCACAAGACCTTAGAAGGAGAAGAACTAAAAACTTTCAAGGACTTTGTAACAGTTGTCGCCAAGGTAGCGTTGTAACCCAAACACAACTTTTTTTTTGCACTTGAGCTGTCTTCTCGCACTAGAATTGTTTTCATTAGAGCGTTGAAATTTACAGGTTTATATCTTACTTGGCCCATTTGATTGTAGCTATTTCCAGGTCATCAATCAGTAGTGAAACTTCTCGAGACATTGCTAGAATGGCTAGTCAGTTTACCTTTGGAGAAGATCCCCTACGATGCTATCCTGGATTTAGTTAACAACAAGATGAGGGTAAGACTGTCACCCACTAAACAACTTATTGCATAATACATCTCACAAAGTAAGCTTTTAGTTGTTATTTTGTGACAGGAGCATAAATCAGCATGTTGGTGCTCCGTTTGTATTATTCTCAGATCTCAGGGCTGTACCTGAACTGTAGTGTAGGAAGAAAGGGAAAAAGGGAAAACTGTGAGGATTAAAGAAAGGAGACAAGAAGGAATTATGGGGGAACAGACAGGTGGTAAGAAAGGAACCAAACAGACAGGACAGGAAGGAAGATAAAAGGACTGGAAAGAGGAAAGAAAAATACAGAAAAATTAAAAGAAAGAAAGAAAGAAAAAGAAAGTGGTCTAAAAGAAGGTTAAAAAAACATGAAGCCATATATAAGGACATGAAGTAAGGAAGAAAAAAAGCACCGGAGAGAAAGAAAAAGTAATGGAAGAAAGAATGAAATTAGAACTGGAAGGAAAAAGAACTGGAAGAAAGGATGGGGGGGATTTGAAAGGAGAAAGTAAAAAGGATATGAAGCAAGAAAGGAGGGCAGACATGAAGGATAGAATGCACAGGTGATAGAAAGAAGAAAAAATTGTAACAAAGAAAGTAGGATGGAGAAGAAAAAAGAAAAAAAATATTGGGAAGTATGCAATTAGGACTGGAAGGAAAAAACACATGAAGGGAGAAAGCAGGAAGGGCAGGAAAAAGAAAAGGCAAAAGGGGTTGGAAGGAACAAAGGGGAAGGAAAGAAAAGAACAAAAGGAAGGAAGGAACGAAGAAAGAACGAATGAAAGACTTCATTAATGTGCCATTCATTAAAGGCAAAAGGGGTAGGAAGGAACAAAGGGAAGGAAGGAAAAGAACAAAACAAAAGAAAGGAAGGAAGGAAGGAAAAGGGACAGAAAGAAAGAAAGAGAACGAATGAATGAGTTTATTAATGTGCCAGAAGAAATTCAAGAACTACAATGATATTTTCATGTCCAAACTATAAATGTAAAGTTCTAAACATGCTAGCAGACGTTACCCTCATAGCTGATTGCACTCGTTATGCAGGTTCAATGAGCGAGGACTCCATGTTTCCTAAGACTCAATGGCCGACTCCTGATCTCTGTCCCACATGCCATGAGGAGCAAGAAGGCCTACATGTCTGGAACGAACAGATGGTGCTCGCTTTCCTCAGACAACACTATGGTGCCTCAAACATCTCCCCAAAATACTCCAGCAACAGCCAACCAGAGCCAGGCCCTCCTGCTCCCGACAAACCCAAAGCCATAACCAAACCTAACAGCAACCTTCACCTCAACCAGAACCTAAAGCCATCTCCTGACAGCGCTCCTAAACATCAGAAGAGGAGTGACACCAATGGTGCAGGACAGAAGCTCACCGGCATCCAGATAGAAGCCAGGCCAGGGATGACGATCCTGGGCCTGGGATTCTCCAGAGTGGACATGAGTCTCTGTGTGTTCCTCTATGCCCTCTCCTGTGTCTTCCTCATGTTCATGTTTTTCTTCTTCCGCTTTCGCTCAAAGAGATGGAAACCCAGAAACTACCGGCCTTACGTATAGCAGCGGAATACTGCGATGGAAAAACTGTGGATAAGGTGAATGTAATATATGAAACCCCTGCCAAGTGTTGAAGGAGACTTTTAATTTATTTAATTACTTTTATTTGTTTTGATCTTGTTGTTGTTGACGTTTTTGTGAAGTGTTTTGTAATGAAGAACTTGTCTAATGACTGATAAAAGTTTTAACTCGTGTATCAGGCCTAGTGTGAACAAGCACCTGTTAGCGAGGATTTCTCAACCCTAAACAAACAGAGAGGATGATTTAACAGGAGAAGCTATTTTGCTATAGTAAAATTAACAACCTAGGTCAAAGTATGTTTTTATGAATATTCTACATTATTTATAGAGATTTTTATTGAAATAATATATCCTAAGTTTCTCACAGGGTATATATCGCTCTCTATGAAAGTCACTCTGTCCCCATATTTCTGTTTGATGGTCCAAAAAACACTTGGGAATATGATTTATTCTGTCACTTAAGGTCACTAGCCGAGAAGCCAGTGACACGAAGCACTGCCTGTCAATGACCAGATGTGGAAAAACCCTTGGTTTTGTCTGCATGTGAAGTCACAAAAAGCGCTACAGTTAATTTTAAGCTTAATTTCTGTCTTTTTATTATTTTTACCTTTTAAATCTTGTCAAAATGCTTCATAATTGGTTTTATTGATGCACCTCAGCAGTAAGGGATTTATAATTACTACAATAATCTCTTCCAAAAAATAAAAATGTGTGACTTTTTAGTGAGTAAACCTTTATTGATAATCTCGTTTTTTTTCTGTAGATTACAGAGACTCTTTTGAAATGGAACATATTTCAATAATTATTTTATACTTTTAACTTTTTTTTTGTCCATGTCATTGTAAAAAACAAATGCATTCTGTTGTAGAGCTCATAGAAGACACCATATATATTGAACCTTAAGGGAAGCCATTATTACAGTGTACTCAGAGGATTCCTGATCACAGGCCGTTTATTGTTTAACATCTATATTACTACAGCAGTATTTTGATTCAAAGTTTAGAATTAAAATGTGTTGATATCGTAAAACTTTAAATATCATTATCAGCATTTGGTTTGTGGAATGATTTGTAATGTGTTCAGCTTGTGATTATTTATTTCACTATCTAATGGAGCAGTGTTAATGTGGACCTGAGGCTAAATATTTAGAAAGCATTCTTAATAAAATACGGCTTATGTGTTGTGACAGTATGTGCCCATAATGGTGGCCTTCTAAGCTGCTCCAAACGAATGGCTGTAAATTGCATTGCGTTTAATTATTAATGTTTCCAGTGCTTTAATATATTTTTATACTACAGCAGTATTTTGATTCAAAGTTTAGAATTAAAATGTGTTGATATCGTAAAACTTTAAATATCATTATCAGCATTTGGTTTGTGGAATGATTTGTAATGTGTTCAGCTTGTGATTATTTATTTCACTATCTAATGGAGCAGTTAATGTGGACCTGAGGCTAAATATTTATAAAGCATTCTTAATAAAATACGGCTTATGTGTTGTGACAGTATGTGCCCATAATGGTGGCCTTCTAAGCTGCTCCAAACGAATGGCTGTAAATTGCATTGCGTTTAATTATTAATGTTTCCAGTGCTTTAAGAATTATATTTTTATCTAAAGACTATTTTTGGGTGCGGTTGTTCTGTATATATGTAGTTGTCCTTTCAGGGGAGTTGTTGTATTTTGTATGAAGAACACTAAGTTATCTTTCAAATAAAAATATGTATTTCCCATCATTTTCTAGTTCATATCTACAAACAATGCAGATACATACACGTATTTGAGTTTTATATAGCACCACTATAATATACTGTTACTTGTGGTATAATGTAAATGTTTCATTTTGAGATTGGTTTTCTGAAGAGTGGTTCTTAAACAATCTTTTATGAGGAGAACAGTCGGCTGTACCATGCTGAGAACAAGGTGTAACTGCAACTTCAAGTCTAAGCACACCGGGGGGTCATTTAAGTTTTCTATTGCTGTAAGTCTGTGTCTGCCCTCTAGTAGGCAGTATGGAGTATCCCTTTCCCCACCAGCTCAGACTGCAGTCTGTTCTCCCCAGGGACATCATACATGTGACCATACTAACACTCTATTACTAGAGCTCCAGCTGTCAACAGATGTCTGCACAGGCACTTATGTTTCCAAATGTAAAATAACTTACTATGTTCATCTCTTCACACCGGAAGAGGACATTTTCCTCAATGATGGTGTGCATTTCGCACTGGAAACAAAGTTTAAGGGCACTTTCTTCAAGAGACAGCTTAATGTGTCAAGTTTTGCTTTTTTCCTCCGGCCTGACACAGTTTCACAGCTTTTAAAGAGACCAGACAGACAGCTGGAATCAAGTTTTGCAGCATTCGCAGGGTGTGTGTCTGCTGTGCCTTATTGATTTATTATAATTTTTTTGCTGTTGATATTAGGCAGAAGACTGGAACATGGCAGTTCATCTCTAATAGCGCTGACTCACGCCGTAGCCCGTCAGCGTCTCAGCATTAAAAGGCAGCGAGTCAGAGATAGAAGCATAGCGCCTTCTTCCCCACTTTGCTGAGAGACGCTGCTTTACTGCCCCACTGCTCTGTACTCAACTCTTACTTGCACACTAGTCTTTCAGCCATCCGTCTAATACGTGCCGCCTTAAAATGCTTCTCGGTTTGATGTACTGATCTGATATTCAGGGCAGCTTTGAGGCTGAGTCTCTCTTTTCTTTCTCTTATCGTTTGAGTATCTGTCTGATGCCGTGTTGGCACATCTGATTGGGTATGCAGACTCTGTACTGAGCATGCCAGCCTGTGACAGGGACTGCAATGCAGAGCTGCTCTGGCACACACCATTTGTCTGCCCTTAATGTAAATAATCCTGAGCATGCAGCCGATCATGGCAGAGACTGCTTCTGATGGATTATGTGTCTGCACGCGTTCGGGTTGGTGCATGTGGGGTGCACGCTCCTGTTCTTGTCTTTTTTTCGTGTGTTGACGCTCAAATAAAAGTGAGCCATTGCTCTCTCTCTCTCTTTCTGTCTTTTGTCTCCATCGCACATGAACACGTTTACTCTCTGCAGGGCAGTTATCCGCATCAGGCTCTCTCTCTTTCTCTGTCTCTCTCGCTCGATCTTTCTCGGGTTGGTGCATGCGGGGTGCACGCTCCTGTTCTTGTCTTTTTTTCGTGTGTTGACGCTCAAATAAAAGTGAGCCATTGCTCTCTCTCTCTCTTTCTGTCTTTTGTCTCCATCGCACATGAACACGTTTACTCTCTGCAGGGCAGTTATCCGCATCAGGCTCTCTCTCTTTCTCTCTCGCTCGATCTCTCTCTCTCTCTCTCTCTCTGTGTCCTTAAATGACTTTCCTTCAGTCTCACTCCCTCCCCCTCTCTCTCTAGTCTCTGTGTCTGTGCCTATAGCCTCTCTCCCCCTTTCTGTGACATACAGTAGATGGTGCATCGATTGCACACAGACGCTTGCTTTCCCTCTCGCTGGCTCAGTCCTGTGCGGGGAGGAAGAGGACGGATTGAGACGTATCTCTGATTCTCAAGGTTCCTTTCCTCATGCTGAGCTGCTGTGAGGAGCCTGGCCGCTCTCTCTCTCTCATCTTTTTTCTGCTGTGTCTGCACCAGATAAACATTGTGTGACTTTTGAATCTAGTCATTTTCTGTTCGTTACCTCATCAAGCCGGTCCACCTTCATTTTGACTTTCTGCTGTCTTAGATGTCTGGTGAGAACATCCTGTCTTCTCCAGAGATCTGAAACGGGCATTATGTCTCACCTCTTGCACATGGAGATTCCAAACTTCGGCAGCACTGTTCTGGACAGCCTTAACGAACAGCGGCTGCTGGGCCAGCACTGCGATGTGGCCATCATGGTCAACGGACAGGCCTTCAAGGCCCACCGCGCCGTTTTGGCGGCCAGCAGTCTCTACTTCCGTGACCTGTTCAGCGGTAGTGCCCAGACGCTCTTTGAGCTGCCCTCGTCCGTGGCCCCATCCTGCTTCCAGCTGATTCTGTCGTTCTGCTACACGGGCCGGATGACGGTGAGTGCCAGAGATCAGCTGATGGTCATGTACACCGCAGGCTACCTTCAGATCCAGAACATCGTAGAGCGAGGAATGGACCTCATGTTCAAGGCCAGCGCTCCATACTGCGACTCGCAGACATCTGCCACAGATGATCCCCCGAGCCCAAACAACAACAACTCCTCCCTGTTGCTAGGCGACCAGCCCACAACTGTCTGCAAGATCAAGGAAGAGAAGCTGGAGACCCAGGTGTGTGCTCAGAATGGGGAGCTAAAGCACTCCGAGGAGGACAGGGGACCTAGGGTCAGATCTTCAAGGAATGGCACTCTTTTCTACACAAGTGGAGGCGCAAATGGGGTCATACCTGTGATGCATGCTTACGAGCACTCGACCCGAGATCATGCCAGTCCCGGTGCCTCTAGCCTGCCGACCACAGACAGCCCAACTTCACACCAAAATGAGGAGGAGGACTTTGAAGACGACTCGTACGAGAGTCTGACAAATGGGAAGATCTTCGGGGGCTCGTCCGGGATATATGGCAGTAAATGTCTTTTAATGGACTTCTCTTTTGCTCCATTGCAGCTCAAAACACTACGGATTTATCCCTGTGAGTGTGATCTCTTGTGTGTCTTCCCAGTGCAAGAGAAGATGTCCTCCCTACCTCTGTCCTTGGAGAACCGTTTCTGTGTGCTGTTAGGAGGAGACAGAGAGGCTCTGCCTGCCGGACTCATCAGCCAGATCGGCTACCGTTGCCACCCTGCTCTCTACACAGAGGGCGACCCTGGAGAGAGACTGGAGCTGATTGCAGGTGAGGCCTGAATAATAGCAGCCTGTCTAAAACTCCATGTCCATCTGAATTATTTATCAGTTCAGACTGAGTCATTTGAGTCACTGATTCAGAGCTAAGGTCTCCTTGTTTCTCTGTTGTTGGTGCTGTGGAAGGATCTGGTGTCTTCATGACTCGTGGGCAGCTGATGAACTGTCACCTCTGTGCTGGGGTCAAACACAAAGTCTTGCTGAGACGTCTTCTAGCTGCTTTTTTTGACAGGTCTAAAACATTACAGATGTGTAACAAGTGTAATGTGTATCTGTAGAATGTCTGAAATACCAAGAGCTCAGTTCTGCAGTAAAAATAGCCAAGCAGAGTTGGAATGAATCTTCTCACATTCAAATGTTTAGTATATTTTTTGATAACTATAAGGACCGCATGGTGTTTTGGAAAAATATTGTGTGTGTGCCCTCCAGTGGTTGATTATGGTATTTTGACTGCAGGAACACACTGGCTGACAGCTGTGGAACTGGAATACGTTCCTCCAACTGTGATCCAAATCGCAAACCACTGGACAGTCGCATACTCAACACAGTCAAACGTGAGTGACCCTTTGCTATGCTGTTACAGTAAGCAAAACAGACTCTATTTAATATATGTTTCTGGTTTTATTGTGCATGATTCCTTGGTTTGCTTTTTTTTAAAGTCTTAAAAATCTTTCATCAAAGTTTCCTTGCCTCCAATTTCCACTTTTCGTGATCCAATCAGTTTCACCTTACCAACATTTAATCCTTTTTCATTCGGAAATATGTTACAGTGTAGAAGTAAAATAGGTTCAATGTTGACTTGAAGCATTGATATTCTTTTTTCTCTCTCTGCTTTATCATTAGTCTACTGTCAGAATTTTGCCCCTAACTTCAAAGAAAGCGAGATGAATGTGATTGCCGCAGACATGTGCACCAATGCCCGGAGAGTTCGCAAACGCTGGCTCCCCAAGATCAAGTCCATGCTTCCGGAGGCGATCGAGGTGTACAGGGGGACTGCGGTCCTGAGCCAGGTGGAAGGAGCTACCCAGCCAGGCGGTGGCTTTCCCTTTGAGTCAGAGTTCAAACACCTGGCAACGTCAAATCTGACTCTGGAGCAGCATCTCTATGGAGACTGTAGAGAGACACTGAGGAATGGCTCTCACTTCAATATGGAAGAGAGGTCCCAAAAAGGTGAAGAAGCCAAGACTGAGCCAAGCCAAGCCAAAGAGCCAGACAACCAGGAAGTTGAAAGGCTTCCGGAGAGTCCCGAGAGAGCGGCCAGTGTGCTCGCCCTCAACCCTGCCAGCAAGAAAGGGGAAAAAGAGCATGCAACCAGCAGCCCCAGATCACAGAGAGAGGAACAGAACAGACAGAGACCACAAAAAGACGATCAGTGACTTCCTCCACTTCATACTATTAAAAACTGGTCTGCAGCTTCTCACACCAAAAAGGATCATTATCAGTAAAGGCAATCTCTCATGCCACTGAACATTACATTAAAGCTGCATGATCATGGGAACTGGACATACAACATTTTTCCAGGATAGACTGAAAAACGTCTGCATTAAATACAGTTGTGATTACAAGTTTACCAACCTCTTGAAGAATCTACAAAATGTTTGTTTCTTTTAAAATAAGAAGGGATCATAACAACTGCACTTTAGTTTATTACTCACCTTATGAAGCTGTTTAATAGATATTTACATTTATTCCACATGACAAAATAATTAAATTTACACATCTGATTCTTTTTTTTAAAGGTTTACATACCCTTGGATTTTAATATCATATATTGCCTCCTCAAGCATCAGTGACTGTTTGTAGGTCTTTTACGATAGTTGTGCATGAGTTTCTGTTTTGTCCTGAGCAGTTAAGCTGTTCTTGACAAAGCCTCCAGGTCCAGTAAGTTATTTGGTTTCCCAGCATGCTCTGGACAATTGAGGGACTCAAATGCAAAACTGTGATGCTTGAGGCAACTCACAATATTAAGAATCAAAGGTATGTAAACGACTCATTAGGAATTTTGTGTAGTTTTTTTTTCTCATGAAATTAACACAAATATCTGTTATGCAGCATCATCAGGGCAATACTAAATTACTAAAACAACAACATTTTCATGATCTTATTTTTTTTTTTAAATACTAAATGTCTTACTGATTCCCCAAGGGGTATGCAAACATCTGAGCACGACTGTCTAAAAAATTGTAAGGACCTTTAAAGAAGCCACTTAGCATACGTAAATACCGGCACATATACAAGCCCAGTACATTAAGGCAAACTGCAGTGCGTTTTTTATGAATGCATGTGATGCATAAGCTCTGGCATTTCTGACTAAATACTCTTGCCAATTACAGAAACAAGTGGATCATGGACTTCTGCATGGCAAAAACAAGTGAAGGACAAAGGCTCTCCTTAATATAACACGACTTACATGCTTCAGAAATCAACTATACTGCTTTGACTCCAGCAGGACAGTGGGGTTGCTATGTACAAAGCTGACTGTGAGACTGCTGAGTTCAGTACAGTAAGGGAAGCTGAACAGAGAACAACAGTTCTCTAGAGAGTAGCCTGGACTCTCCGTTTTCCCTCTCAAGCTTTTTAATCTTACTCTTGTTCTCAAGCTACTGTATAGTAAATGCTTGCCTGTTTTTTTGCATATCAGCTGGTCTGGACATTTGAAACGTGATTGTATGATTGTTTTTTGGAAGCGAAATAAAGGAAAGGATTATTTTGAGGGATAATTAGGTTATGCCTATTATTGTTGGTTAAAAATGACTTTTGCTTGATTACAATGAAATTGATTTATCATGGATGAAACATGAAAACGTTAGCATAGTTTTACTTTATTGCAGAAAATACAATACATGTGAAATGTCTCAATAAGGTCTAGATCAGTGTTTCTCAACCCTGGTCCTGGGCGCCCCCCAACACTGCACATTTTGTGTGTCTCCCTAATCAAACACACCTGATTCAACTCATTAGCTCATTAGAAGAAACTCCAGGACCTGAAATGGGTGTGTCAGACAAGGGAGACATACAAAATGAGCAGTGTTGGGGGGCGCCCAGGACCAGGGTTGAGAAACACTGGTCTAGATGAACAGAGATAGTTCCAGAATTCATTATTGTTAATAGGATTATTATTTTCTTATCTAACATCTCTTTTGCTTACCTGCATTATCAAATATTTAAAACTAAATTTTGTTCAAGTTATACAGACAGAATTTCTTCCTTAAATGCATAGATGAATCTCTGCATCTGTTCCCCCAACAGGCAGTTTTGTCTCCTTTACCCTGCAAAAGAACAACATTGTTCATTTTTCAGATATCATTGACTATGTTCTTTGAATTATTAAACAATTCTTTTAAAAACTTCTAAGATGGAACAGATTCAGCAGCTGTCCAGAAAATAACCTGTGTTTTGGGCGAGGTAAACAGCATATTGTGGCACGTGTGGTGATTTTGTGATGGTCTTTAGATAGCCCATCCTGATCCTTTTCCAGATGCCTCCAGATGTTGCAGAAATCTCGAACAGCACAACATTTCTCACAATTTTTCAGTTGCTCATTTTCCAGTCGAAAGAGATTCCAAATAAAACGTCTGGTTGAACAGAAAGAAACAATTAAGGAAGTGAATGCACCAAATAATAATTATTCTGATAAATAGTCAAATACACCGTACACCGAAAACAATTTTCTCTCAGAAATTGCTAGCGAATTTCATAATTAATTACAATGAAAAAGCAACTAACACATTGAATTAAATGTGACGCTTTGAAATAGAAAAGCTGAAATAGTATTTTCTTGTTAAATATAGTCCAATAATCTTTTTTTACAACTTCAAAAAATCTTTTTTACAGTGTAAAAAGAGATTTCTTAAGGTACAATGTAATCCTGAATATTTCTCCCATGAGTCAGCAGCCACTTTAAAATTAAATTATAGCAAAATGTAATTGTGCTGATCATCCCAGATTACAAGTTTACATACTTGCTGTCTTGCTGCTTAGAGCATGTGACTGAAATCTAACCTGAGGACTTCCAGTGGTGCCAGCAGGGCACTTGCTGTGGCAGCTGCAGTTGAATCCTTCATCTGAGCCAGGAGGATATTTATAGCCCAGGAGACCCGCAACAGTACATCCGCCAGCATGGCTGCATAGTAGTACCACTGAAAGAGCACATCTCTCAATATTAAAGATTATTCCAGTGCTGTTGCAGGTCAGTTTGACCCCTAGTGATTCATTTAATGCCAACTTTTCAGCCTGAAACTTCATGAGATGCCAATGTTAAATGCCTGCACTGTCACTGTCACCACACAGACTAAATCACAAACAACAAATTTTGACTTTTGAGCTGTGATTTGTGATGTATGGTCAATTTGACCGAATAATACCTATATGCTGGATCTGAAATGTTGACAGCACAGAAAGGTTTAGTACAGTGGTATCTCTTCTACCAAAGCTTTTCTAAACCAGATTGAGTGCTGATATTGCCTGCTACATGAATACATTTTAACTTTTGAGAACGAATATGGAATGTCTGTACCATGTGGGTCACATAGACATTTATGGGTATGTGCATAGGAACAGTTCACCCAAAATGTGTAAAATGTAAATTTTACTAACCATCATAACTCTATCCATAACCTTTATTGTTTTCATTTTTAAATGATATCCTGGTCACTTTTAAATATTATGAAAGTCAATAGGGATTGGGGATGTCAACAGGGTTGCCAGATCTGTGCAACAAAACCAGCCCATTGGCCAATCAAAACTAGCCTAAATAGCAAAACTCCAAATATGTCTTAATATGCGCCTAATATATTATAGCTTTGTGTGAAGATAAGACCAAAAGTTTGGGGTGATCCATTCCTTATATATATATAATATATATTATATATCATGTCCAACTCGTCTTTTAGCAGGCCATTTCCCTGAAGTAATCCCCAGTCCATCCTTAAATCCCAGCTCACTGTGACTAGAACACCTGTACAGGTAGCCATGGCCCATATATACAGGTATATCCTCCCTTCTACAAGCAGAGCAGATCTCTCTATCACACACATACACACACACACACACACACACACGTTTGTTTCTGTGAATTCTTGGGACTTTTCATAGAATTCTATTACTTTTACCGCATGCCGGTCCCCACAATGTCAAAAATGTCAGGTTTTACCATCCTTGTGGGGACATTTGGTCCCTACAATGTAGCATAAACAAGTACACACACACACAC